AAAGATATAGCAGAATGTAATGAAGTAGAGTAGAAGGGAATGGCCTAAAGAGTGGAGTGGCATGGCATGGCATGGAGTGGCATGGAATGGCATGGAATAGAATAGAATAGAATAGAATAGAATAGAATAGAATAGAATAGAATAGAATAGAATAGAATAGAATAGAATGATCACACATTGTAAGGTTTGATTGGTAAAACATTGCTTCCAGTTTTGAGAGTGGGTGACAGAAAAAGAGATGAGAAAGAGAGAGAGGGTGGGGGAGGAAGTGAGAGAGGGACAAAAAGGTGTTGCATTGCATAATGAAAGCCTGATGGAGAGATTTGATACAGAAAAAATAAAAACAGTTTGAAGCAACTGCACTAAAGAATACTCTGCCTCACTTCACTCTCATATTGCTACTGCACAATCCAAACCAAATCAATATAATTTTACTTTGTGTGCTCCTGGTTGATGCTTGTATTATTTCAAGGTCTGGAGGAATGAATATGTGCGGCATGTCAGACAGTTCCTTTGGGTTACATATGGAGAAACAGAAGACTGAATAGATTGACACCCACTCCAAGATGGCACAGCTAATTAGTGGAGCATTTGGGACTAGAATATGGGCATCCTACTACTGTTAGGTGTTGTGCTTTTCATTATTTTTGCTTGTTTCTTTTTCCTTTTTATCCTAGGAGTTGAGGATATAAAGCCTCAGAAATAACACGTCATAAGCTGTCAATACCTACTTACGGGCTAGTATATCTGTAACATATGTGGGCCTTTGCAGTGCAATCGAGTTACAGCAGTGACTATGGATTACATACACACCTTTTGGTATAGGACTACATTTAATGCATAGCTCTGTTCTTGTTGTCTTGGGCTTGTATTATAGAAGAGACAATATATTTATTTATTAATAATATAGTAGTATATGTAAAAGGTTAAAAAGCCAAAAGATGTTTCAAGTGAAATATGCAGTTTATTACATTGATCAGGGGAGGGAGAGGCAACTTTGACTTAGGTGAAAAACAAGTAAGGGGACCATGAAAGAGATAGCACTGGTGACCTTCTTAGGTGGCCTCAAGATATGCCAAGATTGATGAATATCTGATCGCTTCTGAAAAGATTAATGAGTCCATAGAAAAAAAACCGGGGATGTTGCAACAAAAGTTACAGATAAGAAAGCTGAAGAATAAACTGCTCAACTGTTAGATGAGTCTTTAGGGGCCTATTGATACTATAATGTAACGTTGGGCTACTTGTTCAAAAGCTGTTCATTGGAAGAAGTGTAGTTATTCCAAAAGCATGTGTTAGGAAATCCAGGTGCAGTGGACTACACCAATATCTCTAGTATAATATAAATGGAAGTAATTCATATTTTAAGGTCAAATTCTACCTCTTTCTTGAAGCCCACTTAAAAGTCTGCTCACACTGAAATTTATTTTTTAAGAATCTCTCTAACATATAAATTGCTACATTACACTTAGCACTTAAATATTATCCTGAATTTTAAAGAAATATATTTTATTTATTTTTAGAGAGAGGGAAAGGGAGAGATAAAGAGGAGAGAAACATGGATGTGCGAGAGATACATAGATCGGTTGCTTCTTGCACGCCCCCCCAACAAGGGACCTGCCTGCAACCCAGGCATGCTCCCTAACTGGGCATCAAGCTGGCAGCCTTTGGCTCACAGACTGGTACTCAATCCACTGAGCCACATCATCCAGGGTTGTCCTGACTCTTTAGAACAAATTTCTTGTTTATACATCTCAACCAACTGCTTAAATAGATTGTAAACTTTTAGCTGTTCTTGGGTATTTCTAATCACATTCCCAGTTCCCTGCACATGCTACATGATAAATACAGATTGGGTGATTGGTTAACAGATGCAGTGTTATTTTAGTATGGCTAGGAAATTATTAAATTAACCTGACACATTCCCTTGCTTTCTTATGGTTTTAGCTACATTCTACCAATTACTATAACTATTTATGTATTTGGTACATTCCCAACTGGCTTTTAAAATGCTGTGGCACATAGCAACTCTTATGTACACTCACCTCAACACACTGTACCAAACACGGTGCCTGCACCTCATAGATTTCAAATGAATAGCTGTCAAATGGAAATTTAACACATTTTTTAAGTAAGCATGGTATAGGTAGGTAGCCTAGCAAGGATGAGCACATGGAGGTCTCGCAATAAACCTATAAGCCAAATGAATAAATGACTCATGAACTCTAACTTTTGCTATTAAGTAGCTGTGAGACAAGGCCAAATTACTTCCCATTTGGGGCACTTCATCTTCTCCTCAGTAGCATAAGGCATTTTGATTTTGATTTTAAGAATGTCTTTCTAACTACTTTTGAGACTCTAATATGTTTCAGGACCTCCATGAAGAATGAGGTTGTTTCTTATCCAATGATTGATATTTAAACGCTTTCACTTATATGGGACCTAAGATATTCTTTATAAATAAAGAGCTCTACTGCTAAAACTGTTTGAAAAATTTCGGTGTAAATCACATTGTGGAATTTTGCTTATCTCAAAACAGTTTGTACACATACCATTTGAAACCCATGTTGCTGTTACCTTACCATACAAGAACTGGACAAGAGGCCCTGCAGTTCCAGAAGCCACATTCACATGACCTTGACATTAATTTTATGGGAATAGTGGAGGCAACATTCATTAACTTTAAAGGCATATAATAGTTTCTAGACTACAGAGAGAGAGATGTATGTTCATCTCTCATGCGTGCAATGAGCTTTAAAGAATAATAGTTTTTAACATACTGGAATCAAATATATTTGTTTTTTCTCTTTTCCTCACTTCATATTCTTTCTAGTTAAGAGAGCAGAACTCTGAAAACATGTTACTGAACTGCTTCATTCATTGATAGTGGTTTGGATTTGTTTCCCTCTCCCCAGACAATTTGCATGGCAGGTTGGATAAAATTTTGTTCTTTGTTTGGTCTATTAGAATGTTGAGATCACTACTGATTGGTGCTTATTAAAACACTATAAAATCAAAGTGACTAAGTCTGAGACATTCATCTATGGCTTGGCAATCACAACAATATAATAGTAAATACTAGTAGTAAAAATAATAATAATGAAGAGGCCTATTTAATTCTATTTGTTGGTTACTAGTGCCAATGATTTAAATACACAAACTAATGTATTCCTCATGACCACCTCTAGGCTAGGTTTCATTATTATAAGAAAGGAAATGAACACCTTTCCCAAGGTTAATAGTATGTGATGAGTCAAGATTCATTGAACTTGTAATCTAATAGGCATGAAAATAAAAGGACACAGATATCACACAGGTAGAATAAACTGAGTGCTGTAAGAGAGACATACACAAGTGTCATGTTCTCTAAGATTGTCCATCTGTGTCTTGACTGGCTCATTATACACTCCATGTTCACAATACTGCTTTTGTCTAGAATTTCAGGGTTGGCAGATCCTTAGAGCTTCTCTAGTACTTTCCCCCATCGCCAGGATCTCTGCCTATAGCATCTGTGAGCGCTGGTCACAGAGTCCTGTTACTGCACACCTCCCGCACTAAACACACGCCCTGCAGGCAGGGAATGTCTGCTGCTCTGTTCCTGTAGGTGGCAGTTGAAACAAACTGGGTTTCCCTGTACCTTCCATTCTTGGTTTTGCCTAATATAGCCTATTAAAATTTTATGATTGTCCTTTTCCAACAACCTAATTCTTCTCTGAGGCCACTGTTTGGCTCTCTTCCCTCTCCCCATGCCTTCTTTTGGGGTTAACATCATAGTGTGTCTGTGAGGTTAAAACTATGCAATTATGTAAGCTGTTTAGGAGCATGCCTAACACATAAAAAGTACTTTATATAGATTATAATAATCATGGTACTAATAATAACATATTTGTTACTTACTGTATCAGACACTTTATAGAATTTTTCTGCTCTTGGTTGATCAGATTTTATATATAATTGTTTAGATATAGATACTAGTTTTCCTTAAATATGTACAGCTAAAAGGACACAATTCTTCAGGTTCATCTGTATATACTATTAAAATGATCCCAACTAATTGAATTCTGGTTTAATTATTAATTTAATTATTAGGGACATTGGCAGTGTCCACTTGTATGTACATGAAATCTGGGTTCTGCCTCACTGAGTCATATACTTAAATATCCTACTAAAAACCTAGACAACTTCTGGACTTTCTGATTGCTCATTAGAAAACAGTAATAATGAAAGATGAGAAAGAGAGGGGTGGAAATTTTTACAATAAATAAATAGAAGCCATTTGAGAGATACTACCCTTTATAAGAGTGATAAGTAAATGTGGTTGAAGTCTGACTAATGATCATAAGCAGCTCTTCCATTTCCAGGTTGAATCCTCCTTTTTTCCTAAGTACACCAACTCTTTGTTTATTAACCTAAAAATAGTGTAATAAACTATAAAGGTTTCACTATAGACAAGCCCAGGCAACTAATTAAAAGATGCTAAAATAGGCAGCTCCCTGGAGCCTACAGTAGCTTTTAAGGTTGATTTTGAATGACTTGTCCAGGCAGGGAGTCTTCTAGGAGGAAATGCATCTTTGTCTAGGGTTAGGTCAAGGGCTGAACTGACTCCCAGGTCTCCAGTGAACCTCCAGGAGAAATGCCTGAGGCACTGCATGGATGGAGGAAGTCCCCAGATTCTCTCCAAAGAGGGAGGAGAAGATTGACTATCACTCTAGACTGATATTCAATTGCAGCAAACAGTATGCCAATGGCTATTCTCTCTGCTTTGCTCATCTGTGGTGGGTATCATTGACCTATGCAACTGTGAATGCTCAAGTTCAAATACAGTATCAACAAGCCAGAACCCCAGTTGTGCCAAGTGCCAGTTATGTGTCTTTTCATCTTTTTGCATGCTGCTTTGGAAGAACAGTGTTCTAGGATATGGCTCCTAGTTATGCAGAATGATGACATTTCCAGGCTGTATGGAATCTTGTGTCATCTGGTCCAATCACCTCATTTTGCAGATCAAGAAACTGAGGCTGAGAGAGAAGGGACTTGCCCAGAGTCACTCAGCTAGTCAGTGGCAGACAACAGTGGACACTGCGGTAAGTGGTGTGGTCACTTTTTGGCTTCTCTTTCCAATCTATAAAATGGAAATGAGAGATAGGTCTACACAACCTCTCTAAAATTCCTCTCTATTCTAATATTTAATTTTGGATTCTTAAATTTCAGTGTGATTTACATTTTGTAATCATCAAGAATCTTTTCTGAAAATAATGCATTTATCTGCCTAAATAATAGTGTTTGAGCATTTTGATGAAGACTAAAGTTCTAATTAATAATTTTGCACTGTGTACAGGTACCTCTGTATATGGCATAGATTTAAAGATTTTGAAAACACACCTGGTTTTGAATACGGTTGATAATTTACTATATTATATCCTAACAATACAAACAATTTTTTAATAAAAACTATAGTGGATGCTTCATTATTGTTTATTGCCTCATGTTGTTCTGCTCATTGATGGAAAGTTCAGGTCTCAAGGATGAGTAAAGATTCTGGAGAAAGACTGCGGTACAGGACAGACCTGCCCACATTGATTTTAGTTAGTTGAAAACCCCATTGCTTTTAAGCAAAGATTGGATTTTTTTCCCTCTCATTTCTTCAGCAGGCACATTTTAGACAAACCAACAGCAAATCCATTAGGCAATGGCAGCTGTAACAGCTTTCATCAAGCATGTGCATGTTTAGGGTCTCTATGGGGTAACCTGGGTTGTAAGGGCAAAGGAGTCAAGGGTAACTTGGACTTGGGGTTTCAAGCCATTGTCTCCATGGAGTTTGAGGGGCATTTAGGAGGAGCAAGGAACTTAATATTTTATTTATTTAAACTCATCAGATGTGAGTCTTTGTAGTCTTGTAAAATTCTGACTTACAAGTATTAATATCCATTTTCCTTATTAAACATGTGAATTTAATTTTTTTGAAGTCCGTTTTATAATGCAGAGAATTCTGAGGTTGGAGAGGTCATTGGTTATAGGAAGAAGCCTTTTCATTGTGTGCAAGAAGAAGCATCTTTATACCACTGGGAACGAAGATTCTCAGACATTTAATACCTAAATGACACTTGACAAGTCATGTGTGATGATGTTTACAAGGATATCAAAAGGATCAAATGACATAATGCATATGAAAGAAATGTGTACAGTCTAAAACATAACAGGAATCTTTTTATACTGCCTATTAAAGCAAATGGATAGGTGTATAGGAAACAGCGAGGGGTAGAGTAGGAGAGGGTGTGAGAAGCAAATACAGTAATTTTCCAATAAAATCACAGCTTAGAGCAAAGAGACTACTGGGATGCAAGTGAAATATTGCTGCTAGAATATTCAATATCCATGTCTGGATATTGTTAAAATGCAAATTCTGAGTCAGTAGATTCAGGGTGAGGTCTGCGAGTCTGCATTTCTAAAAAGCTCCCAGGTGATATTGATGCTGCTGGTCTCCAACATTTTGGGCATAAATTCTTATGTCCTCAGATGAACCAATATAACCAAAAGTCAGCTAAGTATCTTACCAGGGAAGGAATCAATTTGTCCACATATTTGTTGGGATGCCTATATCAAGGAATACCACCCAGCCTGGTTATGCCTACCCCTCTCCCTTATCACATAATAAACTTTCTGCACTTTCTGGTTTTATTAGTAAGTGTTGCAAAAGCATTCTGTTTGCATCGGTGGGAGCTTCTGGCTGAAAGATGACAGCAAGAGAGGGGTTTATATACAACAGAATCAGAAATGAACAAGACCTAGGGAACAAACACATTGCGAAGGCAGTTGAGTTTTTTCTTGTTCCTTTTACGGTTTTAGCAAATAGAGGTTTTGCATCTTGCCTTAAGCATTTTAGACATGTGATTGGTTGTCTTAACTCTCCCCTTCCCCTTGGCACATTGCATATTTACATTGACTTGGATAACTCACTTTCCTAATATAAATATAAACAGGAAGAAACCATGTGAGATGTTTCCTCTTTTTATAATTTCAATTCAATTCAACACACACACACACACACACGCTAAGTACTAGGTTACAAAACAGTGGACTAAGCACTGAGAGATTCATAAGGATTGTTAAAATAGTTTCCAAGTATTCTCAGTTCACTTTCAGAGGATATAGGCATAATAACCAAATACAAGACAGTTTGGGCTTTAAAAACCTACTAGATCTGGAATAACATGTTAGAGATCTGATAGAAATATAAATTAGTTCTGCTGGGAGGGGAGTTAGGAAGATGTCATCCATGCAGGAGAATTTAGAACGTGGTCATTTGTACATGGAGGCCAGAAGACAGCTTAAGGCAAAGTGGGCTATGGTAAATTTACAAAGGACAGCAAAAGCAAAGAGGCACAGATTAGCGTAATTCAGCTAACACAGTGTTGAGATTAAAATATCATTCTTTGGATTCAGGCTAAAGTTTAGAGTTTGTGTGGGATTGTTGGCGGTAAGGAGGCCTCATAAGGGTGGCATTTCAGCTGCAGCTTCTGACAAACCACAGTTTTTCTCATTTGGCCTAGTTCCCTGGAATCTGCAGGAGAAAAAGATCACCTTTTATATGCAGCCACCTCCTTTAGCATATGGAACACAACATTGCAGAAGGTACATGAATCAGAGAGGGCAGAGAGAAAAATGATTCCAAATCAACCTAAAAATGTATTTCCATATTAACTCATTTACTCATTAGGTGCTCCTTCGTTACAACTCTGGCACTCAAATGTGATAAAGTATTTGTTTATTTCTCTAACTTATGTGAGGTTAAATTCCTTTTCAAAGACATTTTTGCAATGATGGTTATTTAGGAGTACTGGCTGGTCATAGGGGAGAAGCCCTTTATATTCCTTCTTCTTTTTTTAAAATTTAATTTCTTTTTTAAAGATTTTATTTATGTATTTTTAGAAAGGGGAAGAGAGGAAAACATTAATGTGTGGTTGCCTCTTTGCCCCCTACTGGGGACCTGGCCTGCAACCCAGGCGTGTGCCCCAGACCGGGAGTTGAACTGGTGACCTTTTGACTCACAGACCAGCACTTAATCCACTGAGTCACGCCAGCCAGGGCTATATTTCTTCTTTTTTTTGATGTGCTGGTATTAGGCATCTTAAAAAAAGATGATTCTGCAACTGTCATCTGATTGCTAACCTCCCCAGCTGGTGCCATTGCCTGGATAGGATAGAGCTGATTACGTGGAGACACTGAAGTCAATGCAGTCTGATGTTCAACTTGTTACAGAACCCCAGCCTATCCCATTCTGGAACAGCTGTGGGATCTCATTGCCCAATGCCAAGAAGTAGGACTTCCAGTGCCAGAGTCTGGTGAAAAGGAAAGGGATTGTTTATTTTAAATTTATGCAGATTTAGCATAATGGTGGAATTCTGCCATTAAGTCCCACTCCCTTTAAAATGCCCACAGACACACAGTCTTGCCTCCCTTTGCCAAACCAGTCCAGTTTCAGAATATGCCAGTCAGAGGTACCGTCTTTCAGAAAACCAGAAGTCTGCAGCCCAGCATTCCCGGTCACAGTTCAGCATTTCAGGCATCTCCCACTAACCCATGCTTGGCTGGGCAGGTCCCCACAATCCCATCAGCCATGCTGCCATGTTCTCCCAGGCAGGTTTCCCAATGGGTTTCCTCTTTCTTCCTCCAGCTCTTAATCTAAAGCTGCATGGCATCTCCTTACTCCAAACCACGTGGCACCTTGTTACACACCAGACCTCATGGCAGGCCAGTAGGGGCCCTTCTACCCCTTTCAAACCACATGGCTGCCCCATCATGGCTAGCTGCCCTAATTTTAAATGCTGACTGGGGGCTTCCTACATGACCTCATACTCGGCACTATACAGACTGAAGGTCACATAGACCTTTACCCAGGTGGCAGCAAAGCTTCCCTTCAGGAAGGACACAGCTATCAATTTGCCATTGGCATGAAACGTATCTTAAGCCATCCTCTACTTCCCTTCCCCTAACCATGGGCTGTGGGGGAACATGTTCTATATTGGGGTCCTTGCGCTTTGGACCCCATTTCAAAATGTATACAGAAATGGCCATGGCTGCTATAGCTCAGTGGATTGAGGGAGGGCCTGCGAACCAAAGGGTTACTGGTTCAATTCCCAATCAGGGCACATGCCTGGGTCACAGGCCAGGTCCCCAGTAGGGGGTGTGCAAGACACAACCACACATTGATGTTTCTCTCCTTCTTTCTCCTTCCCTTCCCCTCTATCTAAAAATAAATAAGTACAATATTTTTTAAAAAAGCGTATACAGAAATGAGGACAACCAAAGAGCACTAGCCATTATCAAAGGGTGTTATCCAAGAACAAGTTTGGAGTCACAGTCAGGAGGTAGAATAATTTCAAAATTCAAAGTTGATCAGGAACATATCAGGAAACAGTGGGTAGAACCGTACCCACTTAAATTCACTATGGGGTGTCTGTTCTTACCAGATATTGACTCTGTTTGGCTGAGACTGGCTCACAGGCACAAGAAAGTACTCGAAAATACCAATCCATCTCATTCATTGCCCACCCTTGAAAGGGAACTCTTCAGAGCACAGATGGACAAGGTGAAGCATGTGCTGCTATATAAACTTAGAATCCTTTTGCATTCCGCTCAGTTTTTCTTAAACTCCACTCAGCTGCGGCTGCTCACTAGTCACTTTATGTCCTTTTGTCATTTGTTCTGTCAGTGCTTATTCTTCTTTAACTTCCCGTCTCTCCTTCTTATGCTCCAGTGTTGGCGGTATTAGATACTATTATTTTGACCCTGGTGGCATGGCAAATTCCAGGTAACAACCAAACTTCAAGGGCATAGATATTTCATACTGAGAGGTGTTTTGATGCTCTTCTAGCATTCATCCCCTTTGTTTTTCAGTTTGAACAGATAAACAAATAAACCAGGCACTGGAAGGAGATATGGGGGTGGGTCCACTAGAGAGATCTGAGATTAAGAGAAAGGGGATGAGGAAATGGAAGTAACATTTATTGGGTGCCAGCATACAGCCAACACTTTGCTGGGTTATTTATATACTTTGTGCTACTGAATCTTGGCCATGACCTCA